AAACAAGAACAAGATTCAAAAGAAAACAAACAATAAATTGACAGAGAAACCTAATATTTTATTAATGACAACCCATGGAGAGAAAATGCAACTTTCAGCAACTTCTGCAATCTACTAAATTGAATGAAGAGTCTACTATTTATATGACCTAGAAATATAACAAAGATGGAAATAAGATTAAAAAAAATCACGTGGAATAAAGGAAATACTATTTCTTCAATATTTTTTCAATAAAACACGTGAAATAAAAAAAATAATATTTTTTTCAATAAAAATTGAAAACACATGAAATAAAAGGAAATGATATTTTTTTCAATAAAATACGTGAAATAAAGGAAATATTTTCTCAAAAATATGCCACCTAATTTGGGATACAAAATCCAACAATCTCCACATTGACACAAATTCCGATACAACAAACGAAACCTCAAAATTTCTCCATCTGGAAAAATAAGTCTGACTGCAACGAACAAACTGAACTCTTTATCCCAAATCAAACTTCTCCAACACACGAAAAATACTCTTCCTCTTCCACCATATCCAACATGGATAAATGAACCCAACCACCGAATTTCCAAAATTCAAAAAGAATTCAGTAAAATCAACACTAAATGCTTTAACTGAAGGCCCCTAGCTAGACTTGTCTCCTTCAACAACTCCAAAAGTATGCACATGCAGATCAGCATCCCCATACCTATCTCCAATGGGTCTCTCCCTAGCCATTGAATACAATAGACCTAGATTGTGGTGGCAAAGCGGAATTATCCATATTCCCCAAACTCGACATAGTAGTATTCTCCAAAATAGACTCAGAGCCAACTCCCAACAGTAATGTACCAAACATTATATCCACCACAGTACCAAACATATACTGATATCTTTTCACTGATTCTGCCCAACCTTTCAAGATGTATAACTGGGACTTTTTCCGCCCTTCCAATACAGCACGGACACCCTTCCGGACCTTCAAGACTCCAACTACTCCAGATAACGTGTACCCTCTTGAATCCAAGGTACTCAACGAGATAATATTTTTCTTCAAATCTGGAAGATGTTGAAGCTGGCCAAGTGTTCTGATTGTTCCATCCACCGACTTCAATCTGACTCTCTCAATACCAGCTACTCGACAAGATTTGTTGTTTCCCATAACAACTACACCTTGTATCACCGTTTCATATGATTCAAAAAAATCCCGATTATGACTCATATGAACTGCACAAGTTGTATCCAAAATTCACTCCTCATTAGAATCCACATTAGAAATCGTCAAAACATCTACTCTACCCAGTAGTCCTCAACTACATTGGTTTCGTTCGAAATATTTGATTGCCTCCCATGATTCATAGCTAAATTATTCTTACCCTGTAACTTCTGACCACCATCGACTTACTCCTTTGTCGATCTCCATGAATCACAAGAGCTTCCTCATGTCTGGAACCAACTCCAACCAGATGCTTCATCTTCTCCTTTGAGAACAAGGCATCATACACGTCTTCAATGGTGAATGTGTCATGACTGTACATAATCGTGTCCCTAAACGACGAAAACGAACCAGACAGTGAGCACAACAGGATAAAGGTCAAGTCCTCTTCATCATATTTTACCTCTAACGTCTCCAAATCAGCGACGATCTCCTTGAACACGACCAGATGATCTTCTAGTGATCGACCTTCTGCATTGCGATGAGAATAAAGCCTCTGCTTCAGATGCAATTTGCTGGTCAGACTTTTTGCCATACACAATTGCTCCAGTTTCAACTACATTCAGTTGTTGTCTTCTCCTTCAAGACGTCCTAAAGAATGTTGTTAGATAGATGAAAATGAATCTGTGAAAGTGCCTTGCGATCCTTCCGTTGATTGTCCTCTGTTGTCCAAGTTTTGGCATCATATCAAGTCTCGACAAAGCATCATCCAAATTCATGTGCACCAATACAACTCTCATCTTCACTTGCTACAACGAAAATCTTGTACTGCAATCTAATAGCGGAATATCATATTTCATGGTAGCCATCGATAACAGAAAAACCTCAAACAATCAAATCCTTGCTCTGTAGAACTGCTGAATCTTGGCTCTGATACAACTTGTTAGGAATTCGAGGAGGTGATATGGTGCAATATGAAGTGTAAATCGCACAGACTAATAAATAAGAATAAGATTTAAAAGAAAGCAAACAAGAAATTGGTAGAGGAACCAAATATTTTATTAATGACAACAAATGAAGAGAAAATACAACTT